AGCAAACAAATGTGTTTGCTAAGAGAATAAATAAAGGTATCTGGTGCCCATTTAACTTGACTATTTCCCCCCTTATAGTAGGCAATCCTGTTGGATAGGTGGCACAAATCTACTATCAATTAATTAACACATCAAAACTTAGATAAGTATCTATCAGGTGTTTGATAGAAGGTGTACTCAAGAAGACAAGATATGATTTTTGCCATCAACAGCTAAGAATCCAATTAGTTGTTGTTTTTTCTAATTATTTTAATCACTAGTTGCCAAAATCAGTACAGATATTTTTGAACCAATCTTTTAGAAAAAACTGATAAATTTCACTGTCATAGAAAAATCCTTCAGAATTGAAATATTTTATAATGGGCTGATTATTTCAGTGTGTGTGTGTTTAGGTAAAAGGTGATTCATTTGGCTCTGGCAAAAGTATGATGTGGAAGCGCACAGATTTCTTTCTCCAGCCTCAACTTGGTGTTGAGGGATGAAAAATTATCATCTCATTTTTGTTTTTGGAACTGACATTGAATCTTATCATTAGTATTGCTTAATTATGAATTGTAAAGGGACTCACTTTCCAACAGTGGTCATTTCTCAACAAAAGGATAAAGAAAAATAAAGGGATTCTACCAAGAATATGATAAAATTGGTAATGGTTATCCAAAGATTATCTGTCGAGATTATCCAAGATTATTTATTTTACAGATGTTTCTAGCTTTAGAGCAATCTGATATAGGTAAATCAATTTTTTTCAAAGAGATGAAGGTAGAAGGTAGTCATTCCAATTAAAACTGTATTTTGCGTCACAAAAATATTCACTAAAGGACACATTTAAATGAGGAGACTCTTTTGTGCACTTAGGTATTTGTTCGCAGATTACTAAAGAGGTGGGTCTGGGCAATCAGGGAAATCAAAGATTAAACGTTACTGGGTGTCCAGTGAAGATTAACACCTGTGAAATAATATAAAAAATTTGACTTACACAGTTACAGCAATTTATTAAATGAGATTATCATAGCTGAGAGGATGTCTTTGGTTTTTATTTTCATTCCTTATCATCAGTGTTCTTTATATTAACTGACAAAATATTTTTTACCTTGAAGTGATGCCACGGACTGTGGGCACTGGTATATCGCTTGGAGTATCTTCCACAGTGGTGACTTGGGTTCCATTGCTTTTCGCGCAGGCATATTTTGTACAAACTTCAACCTGAACACATTATTTTAGAAAAAAAATAAATCCAACCACTTTCAAAATACAGACTGACAGCGAACTAAATCCCACCTACCCTTATTTCATACAAATCTCTTATAGTTCTCTATAGCCTCTTGGGGTTTAATAAATATTCATTTCTGATGTTAATTGATTCCAGTGGGACCAGCTCAGAATAGAGTACAGAATTAGGCTTGGAACCATTGATTCAGTGATTAGAATGGTGATGTTGAGTCTCT